AAAAAAAACTAAGGCAATTATTTATAAATAGGAAATATTTATATTTTAGGTTTTAAGATTCAGTCTATGATCAGCTCATAACTGTTTTTCTTTTTGTTTTTTTTTTTGGTTTTCATTTTGTTTTTCAGCCTCTCTTCTTGTTTTAAAAGAATAATTTTATGGTCTAGGAATGTAGCTTAGCGGTAGAGTGCTTGACTAGCATGTATGAAGCCCTAGGTTTGATCCCTCAGTACCACATAAACAGAAAGAGCCAGAAGACGTGCTGTGGCTCAAGTGGTAGAGTGCTAGCCTTAAGCAAAAGTAACGCAGGAACAGTACCCAAGCCCTGAGTTCTAGTACCAGGACTGGCCAAAAAAAAAAAAGAGAGAGGGGCTGGGAAGGTGGCTCAGTGGTAGAGCGCTTGCCTTGCAAGCCTGAGGCCCTGGGTTCAATTCCTCAGCACCATATAAGCAAAAAGGAAAAAGCCGGAAGTGGCGCTGTGGCTCAAGTGGTAGAGCGCTAGCCTTGAGCTGAAGAGCTGAGGGATAGCGTCCAGGCCCAGAGTTCAGGCCCCACGACCGGACCCAAAAAAAAAAAAAAAAAACAATTCTCCACCTAGGTAATTATCTGAGTCATGAAATACGTATCAAAAAATAACCTCTTCATAATTTTCATAGCAATTTCTTCCTAATTATCAAATCTGGAATCATCCAAATGCTCCTCAATATTTGAAAGAAAAAACAAATTATACATATCCATAAAATGAAATATTACTCTGAATTAAAAAGGAGCAACTTATTAATACCCACAAAATGATGGGTTACTCTCAGAAACAGCAGAGAAAAAGAAGGTAGACATAAAAGAGTGCACTGTTTGTGGACCTCTGGGAGAAACCTATCTTCCCCATAGTGATGAAGTCAGTTATGGGATGCCTGGGTGGAACCAAGGATCGGCTGAAGCAAACTAGGATATGGAAAATGTTTAGGTCTTGATAGATAGGTGGTTAAACAGGTGTGTATATACTTCTGTCAAAGCATATCCAAGAATAAAATTGGTATGTCCTATGTAACATAAATTTGACCTTAATAAGGTTTCTTTTTAATATAACTTTATTATTATTATTATTAAGGTATTGTACAGAGGGGTTACTCTTCTTTCACTTTCCTGTCCCTGGCCACATAAGATTTATTTGTTTGTTTGTGCCAGTCATGGGACTTGAACTCAGGAATACAGCCACCAATGCTGTATATGTTTTGCTTTTGTTTTTGTTGTGGGGCTTGAACTCAGGGCTTAAGTGCTGTACCTGAGCTTTTTTTGTTCAAGGCTAGCACTCTACCACTTTGAGCCACAGCACCACTTCTGAATAGAGATAAGAGTGTCATGGACTTTCCTACCTGGGCTGACTTTGAACTATGAACCTAAGATCTCAGCTTCCTGAGTAGCTAGGATTACAGGCATAAGCCACTAGTGCCCAACTATGGCTTTTTTTGTTTTGTGTGTGTGTTATGTTTTTTTTTAGTTTGTTTTTTGTTCATGTTTAGACCCAGTGCTATAAATTAGGACACATAGATCTTCTTGTGTGGATTTATTTTTTTGTCAGTCATGGGGCTTGAACTCTAGGCCTTGGCGCTGTCCCTGAGCTCTTCAGCTCAAGGTAAGCACTCTACCATTTGAGCCACAGTGCCACTTCTGGTTTTCTGGTGATTTATTGGAGATAAGAGTCTCATGGACTTCCCTGCCCAGGCTGGCTTTGAACTGTGATCCTCAGATTTCAGCCTCCTGAGTAGCTAGTATTACAGAAGTGAGCCACCAGCACCCAGCTATGGTTTATTTTTAAAATAAGTTCTGAAGCTAATTATGTAACTCAATAATAGACACTTGCCTAGCATGCACAAGACCCTGTTTTTGATCTATAGCACCATAAAACAAATAAAATAATTAAAATAAAATAAATAAGTAAATAAAATTTGTAAGTAAATAAAATTAATTAATTAATTAATTAAAGGGCTATAAAGTGGGTGGAGCTGAGGACCAAAGGTTAGCATAATACTAACAGACATAATGAGAGAACCACACTAAAAACAATGAAATTTAATTCAATATAAATAATTAAAGACATATCTATTTTATTGAAAATACATTTGAAAGTATGACTGAACCTCTATCCTAAAACGTAAGTGTGATGTGTAACTTCCCAAAGGCAGTAGCCTAGAAAACAGTATAATGAACAAAGGTGTTTTTCCAAACTTGATCTATATTCCTGAAACTGAAACTGAACTGACTTCCCAAGTGGTATTCCTGTACTGGTAAAAGCTGAAGTCTTCTTGAAACTTAACTTCTTTTTCTTCTATGTTCCACTCTAATCTTCTCCTTTATTTAAATAATACTAAGTTTCTTTAGGACAGAAATTTGCCCTGCCCAAGTGCCATTTTTACCTCATGATTTTGCTCCTACTTTTGCTTTCTTATTAAGGATATGGTCAAAATTATGTCTGTAATCCTAATGTCCGGTGTGTATGTGATTTCATGAAAAAATTTGTCTCTGTCTGAGCTGTTTCATGGCAATTTTTACCTCCTCATTCCTCAAGGTGTAAATGAGAGGATTCAGCAAAGGGGTGACCATTGTGTAGAAGACAGATACCACTTTGTCCATGGACAAGCTGGTGTCTGGCCTAGTGTAAATGAAGATGCATGGCCCAAAGAAGAGAGCAACCACCATGAAGTGGGCTGAGCAGGTAGACAGAGCTTTCCGGCGCCCTTCAGCTGATTGTTTTCGAAGAGAAACCAAGATGACCGTGTAGGAAGTGACTAGAGCCAGGAAACAGGCAAGGGAGATGGTTCCACTATTGGACACAATTAATAGTCCTGTGAGGTATGTGTCTGTGCAGGCCAGCTTGATAACAGAAGGCACATCACAGAAGTAGCTATCAATAACGTTGGGGCCACAGTAGGGTAGACGAATGGTCAGGAAGGTCTGCACCAGTGAGTGAATCATGCCTCCCCACCAGAGAGCAATGACCAGCTGCACACAGAGTCTCATATTCATTACATTGGGATAGTGTAACGGAGTGCAGATAGCTACGTAACGATCATAGGCCATAATGGTCAGAAGAAAGATCTCAGCACAGGCAAAAAGATGTAGGAAGAAGAGTTGTGCAATACAGTTATCAAAGGAAATAGTTTTTCTCTCTAAAAGAAAGCCCTCCAGCATCTTAGGCACAGTAACAGATGAGTGACAGATGTCAATAAAGGACAGATTGCTCAGGAAGAAATACATGGGGGTGTGAAGACGTGGAGTGAAGACGATGGTAACCATAATGAGAATATTCCCCAAAAGGGTGAGTGCATAAGTTACTGAGAAGACTGTGAAAAACAGTATCTCCAGCACCCAGTTCTCAGTGAGCCCCAAGAAGACAAATTCAGCCACTCTTGTTTGGTTTAGAGCACCCATCCAAAGAGCTTTCCAAAAGACCTTGAAGAAGAATGAAAATCAATTTAGCTTTTAATATTCTATGAATGAAGCTAATTGAAATGATTATATACTTCTGTCTGTAATGCTTCATTACTTTTAAGCCATAAAAATAGAAATGCAACTCAATAATAGTTGTTATCACTTAAAGGTAATAAAAATATTTTTAAGCTGGGCAATGGTGGCTTATGCCTATACTCTTATCTACTCAGGAGGCTGAGATCTGAGGATTGTGGCTCAAAGCCAACCTGGGCAGGAAAGTCACGAGACTCTTATCTCCAATTAACCACCAGAAAAACCTGATGTGGAGCTGTGGCCCAAAGTGGTAGAGCACTAGCCTTCAGTAAAAAGGCTCAGGGACAGTGCGCAGGCCCTGAGTTCAAGCCCCCTGACCAACAACAACAAAGAAAAAACCTTTTAATAGTTGTTATCATATACCAACCAAATGTGGAAGTCATGCCAATCTCTTTACATAGACCATTTTATTGAACAACAACCACACTGCAATGTGGGCATAATCATTCCTGTAGTGAACTTTGGCATGAGGAAATAAATTATCTCAACCCTTACCCAATAACTCCTTTCATTTCAGACTAATCCATTAATAGCATCAAACTAATTTCTCAAAAATCTACCACTCCTGGGGCTGGGAAGGTGGCTCAGTGGTAGAGCGCTTGCCTTGCATGCATGAGACCCTGGGTTCGATTCCTCAGCACCACATAAGCAAAAAGGAAAAAGCCAGAAGTGGTGCTGTGGCTCAAGTGGTAGAGTGCTAGCCTTGAGCTGCAGAGCTGAGGGATAGCGTCCAGGCCCAGAGTTCAGGCCCCATGACCGGACCCAAAAAAAAAAAAAAATCTACCACTCCCAGCTGCAATCAGAGTACTTGATTCTTGCTGTCAAATTAAATTTATGTTTAAAACCTACAACAGACCAGGCACCAATGGTTCATGCCTGTAATCTTAGAAACTTAGGAGGGTGAGATCTGAGAACTGTGGTTCGAAGCCAGTGGGGACAAAAGTTTGAAAGACTCTTATCTCCAATTAACTATTAAAAGCCAGAAGCAGAGCTTTGGCTTAAGTGATAAAGACTCAGCCTTGAACAAAAACTAAACAAGAGCATCAGGCCCTGCCTCAGTACTGGTGTGTGTGTGTGTGTGTGTGTGTGCACGCGCGCACACACATATGTGCCCGTGCACATGCACGTGCGCACACACACACCTACAACAGACTGCTGAAAACTCACCTGATGTCCTTTTATTTTCCTTTTGTTCTCTCCAAGCAATTCTCTGCATTCTAGATATGCTATTTCCACTGCTGATTTTCCAAAATGTTTGTATCTATTTATTATTTTCCTTCTGCTTGCAAAATATATCTTCTAATCAAGTGTCCCCAACTCATTTCTTCACTATTAAAATACTATTCATCTTTGACTATCTCAGTGCACCACCTTTAAGAAACTTTATTGATGCAATCAGAGCTAACCAATTTCCTTTCATAATTCACGTATAGGTCTTAATTGCAAAATAAAGTAAAATGAGATTTGTTTTTGCTCCCCATTATCAAAATATTTGTTTAAAAAAATAATTAAATCCAGGCATCACTGTCTTACATCTATAATCCTTGCTACCCAGAAGCTCAGATCTGGAGATTTGTGGTTCAATGCCAGCCTAAATAACCAGAAAAAAAATCTAGGCTGTATGTGGCTCAAGTAGTAGAGTACCAGCCAGGCAAGCAAGCTGAACAAGCACAAGGCCCTGAATTCAAATTATCATCAGAAGAAAAATAAAAAGTAATAACCAGGGCTGAAGATGTGACTCAACAGCACAGCATCTGCGTTCAAAGCTCAGCACTAAGAAAAAAGACAAAACCACATGACTTACCCCTTTGCACTACTTAGCTGGTGCCCTACACATAGTAGGTATGCAAACAGTATTTGTAGGAAGTGGAGATGTGACCGGTAGACAGCCGCCTTGAGCAAAAGAGCCAAACAAGAATGTTAGGCCTTGAGTTGAAGCTCCAGTATCAGCGCTGAAGCCCCAGTATCAGTGCTCTCTCTCTCTCTCTCTCTCTCTCTCTCTCTCTCCACTCCCTCTCCCTCTCCTTCTCGCTCTCCCTCTCTCTCTCTCTCTCTGTCTCTCTCTCTCCCTCTCTCTCTCTCTCTCATCTCTTTTTTTTTCTTGGGGTCTGGTTGTAGGGCCTGAACTCTGGGTCTGGGCGCTGTCCCTCAGCTCTTCAGCTCAAGGGTAGCGCTCTACCACTTGAGCCACAGTGCCACTTCTGGCTTTTTTCTTTTTGCTTATGTGGTTTGCTTATGTGGTGTTGAGGAATCGAACCAAGGGCTTCAGGCATGCAAGGCAAGTGCTCTACCACTGAGCCACCTTCCCAGCCCTCCTATCTCTTTTTAGTAGGCATTAGTGGATTATGCTAGCTACTTAGGAGTCTGAGATCTAAAGACTGTGTTTCAAAGCCATTCCTGACAGAAAAGTCCTCTGAGACTCTTACCTCCAATTAACCAGCACAAAGTTGGATGTGAACGTGGACTCAAATGGAAGAGTACCAGCCTTGAGCGAAAAGGCAAGCAAGAGCCGGAGGCCCTCCCTGAGTTAAAGCTCTACCACTAGCAATGAAAGAAATTACTTAAACCTAACTTTTTATGTAGATTAAAGGAGAATCCAATCATTCCTTCACAAAGGAACTAATAAATTACTTAAGAAATTTAGTTCATTTAATCCTGCAGTATGATTTGCCTCCTAAGAGATATTATTCTACAAATATTAAAGTTGCATTATCCCAATTTCCCACATTGTCAGGCCAAAAACTATAGCAGGTTAGGAAACAAAATTTGAATTCTTAATCCAACTATTTCACTGATAGTAGTCTTTTAACTCACTTAGCTATAGGAAGCCAAAGATAAAGAAATATTAATCACAGTATTATTTTAAGCAACAAAATACTTACTGGATTTATTTCATGTGTTTGAAAGAATGTAAGTAGAACCTGGCTAGAATTATATGTTGTCATTAGAACTATATACAATGACACAGTATTTGTTTATTGCAGTTACCAATATGAAAACATTCTGAAATATGATACATAAATGAGATAAAGTTTGATAATATAGTCTAAATAGCTTCAAATATGGGTAGTACTAGCTAGTTACCAAAGACAAATAGCAGACCAGAAGACAATATTAAACTACAAATAGCCAAAAAAGAATATTTCTAGCCAGGAGCTGGTGGCTCACACCTGTAATCCTGATTACTCAGGAGGCTTAGATCTGAGGATTGCGGTTCAAAGCCAGCCTAGGCACGAAAGCCCATGATACTCTTATCTCCAATAAACCACTCAGAAATCAGAGAGTGGCACTGTGACTCAAGTGGTAGGGCTCTAGCCTTGAGCTGAAGAGCTGAGGGACAATGCCCAGGCCCAGGGTTCAAGCCCCACAACCAACAACAACAACAACAAAAGAATATTCCTGGGGCTGAGAAGTTGGCTCAGTGGTAGAGCGCTTGCCTTGCATGCCTGAGGCCCTGGGTTCGATTCCCCAGCACCACATAAGCAAAAAAAAAAAGAAAAAAAAGCCAGAGGTGGCGCTGTGGCTCACGTGGTAGAGCGCTAGCCTTGAGCTGAAGAGCTGAGGGACAGCGCCCAGGCCCAGAGTTCAGGCCCCACTACCGGACCCAAAAAAAAAAGAATATTCCTATATTCCAGTATCTCTCAAAATGTAACAAGACAACAATTCAATTAAAAATGGATGAACAACATAAATAGGAAAGTTAAAAGAAATATAAGAAATAAGTATGAATAATTTTTAAAAATGATGTTCAAGGAGGAAATGATGGTTCATGTCTGTTATCCCAGCTACTCAAAAGACAGAGATCAAGAGGTCAATGTTTCAAGGCCAACCCAGATAAAAAGTTAACAAGATTCCCATCTCAACCAATAAAAAGCTGGTTATGGTGTCACAGACCTGACATCTCAGCTAAATAGAAAACAAATAGGAGGATCTCAATCCAATCAACTAGGACATAAACCTAAGACCATATCCCCAAAACCACTAAAGCACCTGCCTGACAAGGGTTCAACTTTAGTAATAGGTGAAAAACAGAACTAAATACACAGGTTGACAAAAGAATAAAGAACTAAGCACTCTCTATACATTATTGTGGACTTAGGGATAGTTAGATAAATAAATAAATTTTATTACTACTACAATATGGAATTTTATTATAGCCATTACTAAGAATGATATATAGCTAAGTGTGGTGGTACATGCCTGTAATCTCAGTTAATCTGAGGCTGCTAAGGAAAGTTATCACAACACCCTATCTAAAAAACAAACACCTTATCTAAAAAAAAAAATTACTTGGGATTTGGTTCAAGTGGTAGAGAGCTTGACTAGCAAGCACAAGGCCCTAAATTTAATCCTCCATACTAAAAAAAAAAAAAAAAAAAAAAAAAAACCAATAAGCTGGACACAGGTGGCTCACACTTATAATCCTAGCTACTCAGGAGGCTGAAATTTGAAGATCACAGTTCAAAGCCAGCCCACATAAGAAAGTTCGTGAGACTCTTATCTCAAATTAACCAGCAGAAAACCGGAAGTGGCACTGTGGCTCAAGTGGTAGAGCACTCACCTTGAGCTGAAGAGCTCAGGGACAGCACCCAGGCCCAGAGTTCAAGCCCCATGACTGACAAAAAAATAAATCCACACAAGAAGATCTATGTGTCCTAATTTATAGCACTGGGTCTAAACATGAACACACATTAGAACCATCTAGAGATTGTTAGAAATATTAATGAGCAAGACATATCCTAGCTATGCAGAATGCTGAGATGGGACAATGGCAGTTCAAAGCTAGTCCGGGCAAAATGGTTAGCAAGTCCTATATTAACATCAAGGTTGGGGAATTCCAGAAAACTATCACTTGAAAGGTGTTAGGAGGAAGTTAAGAGAAGGGTTAGACAAATTAAAAGGAAGAA